TGTTGTGTAGTGTGTGGTACAAAGGCAGAAGCCTTCTGAGATTTTCACATTGGTGAATATGAAGATTGTTGCATTCTGCATAGGATGCAGTGCCGCATATTGTGGTAGGAAGTGCCATTTCAAAGGAACACACTTTTCATCTGCAGGACAGAAGAGTGAAGAGAGTTCCTCCAAACACTGGCACCCTTCTAACACATTGCTGGCGCCATATCCCAGGCGACATTAATATTCAAGTCACTGTTTTGCAGAGTACAGAACAGAAATTTTAGTGTAAAGAAGATAGTGTCACAGAGATATTTCCACAAATTATATGTATTTTACTGATCTTGGTCCAGCTTCCTACCAGATACTTTAGTAGCAGTTAAGTATTCACTAGCTGCAGTCACTTCTGTGGTACCAGATACCAAGTCCACTAATTTTCATTTTCTGCATGTTCTCATGATGCAGTGATGATCACAGCGGAAATATGAAGCTCACAGATGGTACACACAAAAATTTTAAATGTGAGATTGATAAAAATACTTGGTTCAAAAATAATTTGATATTTTTAATAATTGCCACTTAAATTGTTACTTATATCTATCATAAGCAGAACATTTCATCCCAGTAACATCTTTTTAAAATTGTTGTGGAGTGCTTGTTCTTAGACACCTTATCTTTCTAACACACGAGGTGCTATCTGAAAGTTCCCGAACTGGGTCAAAAGAAGAGATGCTGGCTTAACTTACTCAGTTTTGGCTGCTGTCTCCTTCGGAATGAATACAGTGATGCCATTGGTTTTTCCATGCTTCAGAAGTACCCTGGAAGTCATTTTCCTTAATGCTGTTGAGTACCGCTTTGCATTTCTCTTTGGGATGTCAAGACACAATTTCATAATGTCCCTCCAGTTTCACTTTAGGAAACAAAAGTGAAATCACAGGGGGCTAAGTCTGTCAAATCGGGAGGGTGGGGGAAGGATAACCATGTTGTGATTTTCAGGGATGTGTGGGCGGGCATATTGTCGTGATGGAGCAAGTTATGGTTGCGCCAAAGTTCCAGTTTTTTGTCACACATTTTCTCTAAAGTGTCACTAAATTTCACAGTAATAGTCAGAGTTGACTGTAGTGTTAGGAGAAAAATTCGCTGTGAACAATCCCCTTCATGTTGAAAAAAAAATGAGCATGCTCTTTGTTGAACTCTGGACCTGCCACGCCTTTTTTGCTCTTGGTGATTGTGGGCTCTTCCACTGCAACGATTGTTGCTTGATCATAACTGTAAATCCAATGTTAGTTACCCATTATGATCCTAAGAGATAAAAAAGAATGTTCTCCCAAAGCCTCTCGAAGCATTTCATGGGTTTTGATAAGTGGATTAACCGAGCTTCAGGCGAAACTTGATGCAGATACATTGCTCAGTTTTGCCATCTATCACAGACAAAATGAAACATGGATTCGAAAAACAACCCACATAAAACAGTGCAATGTCACATGGCAGACTGACACAATAGGCTTGCAGAAATGTGACTTTGGCCTACCCTCTCTTCTTTTTTCATCAAGGCAGTTACAACAACAATCTTGGAACTTCCTGATAGCACCTTGTGTGCACTCTTTCCTTCCAAGTCTTTAAATAACTATCACCATTCTGTCTTGCCCTTACAATCTCTCCATAGTGCAGTTAAGGTTTGTTGTGGGTCATTGACTGTGCTCAACTGAAATGCATGGGCTTGAATTCTCATTGTAATTTCAGTCTTTCATATTTCTTCCAAAAATAAAACTCTTTTGATGTAATTTACATTTCTTTTTTAGGTCAGGAATTTAAAACCGAAGAAGGAAATGCTGATGAAAAGGTGGGTGACATTGAAGACCTGCAGCAGCAGCAGCAGCAGGTGGGGAAGACGGGGTCTTGTAGGAACCTCCTCCACCTAGTGTTGAACCTATGCAACTGAAACCTAGATTGGTGGGAAGAAACCTCACAGTACTGCCACCAGTGGTGAAGGGATCTGAACTGTCTGGATTGTGATCTGTGCTGTACAAATATATGTTGAAACAGAATGCTCGGAAATGACATTGAAGATGACTTGTGATGTAATTTTTGCATTTAAAAATATGCTGTGATTTTTTATTTAGTTAACTATAAAGGTTTAATTTTACCATGGATTGTACT